TATATTTATAGGTTTCGCCTGCTCCTCGTCTACATTTACATATACATATACATAATAATAATAATAATAATCTTTTAAAGTCCACTCCAAATTTTATGACGTTAAACCGAAAATGGAATTTCTTTTTGCCCAATTGATCGTGAGCCCGGCAGCCACTGAGCAGCGCCAGATCGACGTTGCTCTATCCCCTTTATTGTTGAACGCCAAACAAGGTACATTACAGTGTACATGTACAAATGTACATGTAGTTCCATTGTGCATGTTTTTTCCCAAAAAATGTTCCAAGCAACTTTACTTTTACCAAGTTTCACAAAACTAACATCAACATTATAATAATAATAATAATAATATTAAAAAATGATAATAATTATAACAGAGGTCTTCATTTTTCTATAACATAGAAAATGTACACAAATTTACCAAACATTTCCTCCAAGAGCCTTTTAAAAATTTACATCAGCAAATTATGAAATATGATGAACAGCTGATGATCTGCAAAGAAACTTTTGTACAGGATCCGAAAGGTCACTTTGTGACCTCCATTCCTATCGGAGGTACATGTCTTAAACTTGAGTATACAGTGGTGCATACACATGTACAGGTACAACAGACATATTGCCTTTTAGAATCTTTCTGTACAGACCAGTTTGTTGATTATCGCATTTTTTGGACTTGAATTTTTTAGAAACTATTAAATACAAATACAGTGGATCTATGTATATCACTTCCTTTAATCTTGTGAGATTGGGGCCTTAATATTTATAACAAACAAACCTACAAGCAAATAACTAATAAACAACCAAACAACAAAATGACAAAACACAGAACTACACATTACCATGTTATAATAAATGAGAGTTTATCATTAATTAGTGTTTTTACTTTTTACAAAACAAATTCAACTGTAGTTACTTGATGTACAACTGTAGCTCCTTTAAAAAAACCAACAAGATGGAAAAAAGGAATACCTATGCATTATGCAGTCATAGTAGTTCAGAAATTAATTAGTGTTTTTACAAAACAGATTCCACTGTACATACATGTAGTTACTTGATGTACAGCAAGCTCCTAGCTTTAAGCCATAATGTAGCCTACATGCACATGGTATAAAGAAGGTCACTCTTGTATTTAAAAATAAAATTTGTAGAGCTCTCTCGTCAGGATGGCAGAGAGATGGAGAGAGAGAGACTGTATACATGTATATGTTGTGCAAAGAAAATTTATGAATGCCTGGCATTAAGAAGTTGAAATATACGAGCTGGAAATAGCTCAGCGCCCGTCTTGCTCCAGTAAAGAATTCTTCACGGACCGAGGAGACAAAGCAAGCTGGGGATGAGCGAGATGAAGATATTGATTGCCTGTTTGTATGAGTCGTAGATCAACCGACCCCGTCTGTTGCCGAAGATTTACAGGCAATTGACGCTCAGGGGAGGGGCCCGTTCTGGATTGTGCCTGCCGATGTACGCCCAAATGGTGCGTTTCCTAAGCTTTCTTAGGGGAGACAGGAGAAAGAGATGGGGGGGGGGGGCTGGAATTTATTTTGTGCCACATTTGAAGATCATGTGTTGTTAGATTTTGATTTGAGACAAATTCCAATTCCAATCATGTTTGTGTTTTGCTTACATGCAAATTGTATGTTTTTTATAGTTACTTTTGAAGAAAATATTTTAGAAAATTCCAGAATATGAAAATTGTAGTATTAAGAAGGGCATGTAAATCAAATATGTATCAGAAGAGCATGAGGCATCGGCTACTACCACAAGACAATATTAATAGACAAAGGGTGTGCTGATTTGTTTGAACCTACCATGGCACTCCTCAGTAACAAAATCTGAAAGAGAGATTATAGAGAGAGAGAGAGGGAGGGGGGAGGGGAGGGAGGAGGGAGTGAGGAGGAGGGAGTGAGGAGGGAAGAGGTAGAAACAGAGAGAGAAAGAGAGAAAAAGTTGTTGGTTTGGGAGTGGTCTAGTGGGGAGGGGGGTCGTGATTATACCCGGCTCTGTTGACTCTCCGAAGGAAGCCTGGGGGGTAATTTGGGAGTTCCTCTCGAGGAAGATAGGATGTCGTCGCTGGCGAACTTGACTTCTCGTCTCTCAGGGGGTGGCAATGTTTACTTCATGACAGGGGAGGAAGGCTCTCGTAAAACCTTGGACCGATTCGCATGTTTATTTCATGTGGTACGACACGTCGTCTGACATTGTTGGTCGCAAATGTCCTTGGAGCTGGAGCGATAAGCCGGGACCTTGTGAAAGTTTGTGCCTCCCCATGCACTATTTTCGTCTTGGTTGCTCATGTTCCCTCTTCTTAAGGATTACTAATTCTTCCACTGATTCTTCCCAGGGTTTGATGTTGGATCTTTCCATTTGAGAATGTTCCTTACAAATTGAGATTGCACCAAAGGACATTTATCTGTCAGATAATTATCATTAGAATCAGAGAATGATTATTAACATTTCCGATTATTCATTTATAATTTGATAACCATGGATATTTAATGAATCTTTGGCAACAACAAGTGTTTTGGATTAAATCATTGGCACTAAACTGTTTGTAGTTACTCTAGGACACCAGAGAATCACATTACATCCATCATATTGACGACCCTTCATGTTGTTGATCATTAACCACCAGAAATCGCCATTTGCTGCGAGGGCACAGTTTCTAGGGTACCTTCAGTGGTGCGGTGTGACAGAGCGGAACAGGAATTTTAATTACTTATGAAATTTGCGGAGGGAAGTGCAGGTTGATTTTAGACACAGTATTGCGCAGGAGACCTAGAGCAGCCAACTGTGCAGAGGAGACGTGTAGCATCCAACTTGGTGTTCTATCCAGGACACAGAACCTACAGAGTTTCTCATGTGAAGTGGGAACTTTCGATGGAAGATTCCCAAGTGACCAACATCAACTTGTTTCTCTTCTTGGACGAATCAAAGAGATACCAGCAACTCTTTGGACGAATTCAGCGATTTCTTTGAGAGCTGACAAAGAAAGAGGGGCCAAGAAAGTTTAAATCTTTCTCTCAAAGTTCCCCCAAGATGATATCATCCAGGGATCCACTATAAATGATTGCCATCATCATAATGCAGGGGATGTAAATAAAATATTTTGGATTTGGAAAAGGATTAAGCATCAATAGAAACAGGTGCAGAAGTGATTTGGTGTGGGAATTGGTCGGAGGACTCAACCATCTGCCTTTTCATTGTAACCGTGGAGACAGCCTCAATTGTGTGGATAAATTGTCATCTATAGGCAGCCTAGTCATATTTTATCTTTGATTTGAGATTTCATTTTACATATTTTCTCATCTCCCAGCGTGAAATTTTACCTGCAGATCGCTGCTGAGTCAAACGTTATGCACATTGAGGATCCTGCTCAATTACAGAACGAGCATTTTTTCTAATTTGAGCAATTAAACCACAGCCTTTGAAATTCATTGATGGAGTGCCCAGACATGGTGTTCATTAAGCCCAGGCTGGAGAAATAATAGTGAACAGGAGGAATACTGCTTTGCTCAATCTAGTGAGTGATCTTATTATTGGTGAATAATTACCCCTGTCGCATCTCATCGGTGACAATCTATTGATTGATCGTGCCCCGAGCTGACCACTGAGCAGCGAGACGACCCTCCCTCAAAATGCAGAAGCCAAGTTGTTTTCGTCTCTTCCACATGTAGGTATTTCCCGCCGCATCTGTACCCATCCATGTACCTTGCATGACCAATGGGTTTTGTGTCTAATGATAATTCAGTTTTTGCCAGATGAAATTCATTTATAGTGAGCTGACTGAGCTCCAGCCTTTGTAGTTATTGAATAGTACAGGATAAATATTGTTGAACTTCTGCAGTCTACAATTCATTCATTATGTATTTGAGCCCTGTTCAAACACTATTTCATAAACCGCCTTTTAAGAAATCACTGCAACAATACTCAGTGTCTTTGAAATGAATGCTGAGAGGCCATACATGTATTTGTTTGGGTGAAAAAGCAAAGCTGTTGGCCACATTGTTCCCCATGTGTAATTTTGTTACCCGATGCAAACATTCAAATTGCAGTACATGTTCAATTTTTTAAAGACTTACTACTTCATGCCTGAATGGGTCTTGGCATCATTCCACAAAACCATCATTAGTACATGTACAAGATTTCCAATTAACATCCAATTGAAATGTATTGCAATAAAAAACACACGTTTCGAAATGGTGTTGTTGTACTTGTATAATGGTTCTCACTCTTTAGAAAACGAAAAGTAATATAAAAATGCAGGAATTTGTTTGCAAAAATATTTCTCTCACAGTGTGTACAACATATACAGAGGAATCATATTCCTGAACTGTTTTCCCCGGACTTCTTGGGCTACTACATGTACATGCATGTTTCTTCTAGAATTTTTCATTTTGAAAACTGAATTAATGTTTGAGAACATTAGTGTCACAAAGACAATAACTGTAACAGCCTTTTCACACACAGCCAAAATTCTATAAACATGATTATAAACATGTTTAAAACTGTTGAGTTAAACACGTTTATACTAATCATCTCTAGATACGATGCATTTTAGCTGTGTGTGAAAAGGCTGTTGATAGTGTGAACACAACGTCATGTATGCTCTACTCTTTCACCCTCACTGTCTCTCTATCTTTTTCTCACTCTGTCTCTCTCTCTATCTCTTTCTCTCACCATCATAGTCCTGTGATACATGTACATATGTACATGTATGTATTCCTTTTTTCTCCCCCTCACTTCCCTCTCTCACTTCCCTCACTTCCTACCCTCCTGCTCAACTTATGGTCATTTTTTTTTCAATTCCAGTCCAATCCACTTTCCAGGGACAGAGCTTGAGAGAGAGAGGGAGAGCGAGACAGAAAGAAACTAAGAGAGAGAGAGAGGGAGAGAGAAAAAAGGCTGCTATAATTGCCATCTGCCCTTTTCATGGCTTGTGAGCTCGTTGTAAAAGGGGAAGCTGCAAGTCTATTTCTCTGTTCCTGTTTTCCAGCCATGAAATTGCTATTCCCAAGTCGTATCAGCTCACTCCCGTTTCTTGTACGATCGAGTGAGAGCGGTTTTCTTGTGTCCATCCTGATCCCGATGCATAATTTGCCAATGTGATTGCATTATTCCTTATCTTGTTCATTTCCCCACTTGGCCGCCGCAAAGGGAATTTGTTGTTTTCGGAGGTGTTATTTCGGACCGTCTATTGTTAGAAATGGAGTTGAAAACGTGAGTATTAATGAGGATGATTTTCTACCTCTGACTGAGCCAATAACAACCTGTCTGACCGGATTCCATTATTCATCAATTCTGTATTATTTTCAAGATGTGTTCGTCTCCATTGTGTGTTGTTGTGAACGAAATCAGTGGGTTTATTGTTAACGGTGTAATGCAGCCTTTATTTGAGTTCTATTCCCTGCTTACTACAAAAATTTTCTTGCTAAACTGATTTTTGTTTCCAGACAGCAAGTGCTGAGGTTAAGGTCATCTAAGGGCTGAAAAGAATACCTAAGTGTTTCCTGCAGTAATGGTTGAAGGAATTACACACATGTACATTGTGTAGATTAATGTCCATACTGGCAGTCTGACAATTTCCAGTCAGATTTTGAATTGAACTGTGCATGCTAATAGAAATTGTTTATCAGCGCGTGTACAGTTATAAAAGAAGGATATTTTGTGATATAGGAAATTTGCACAAAAAACGTCCTTCTCCGTTATGTGTACGTACAGAACATATTTAGAGTACAGTCCATATCTAGAGACATTAGTTTTGTTATTGTGGGACATTTTGACACTTTTCTGTTTTTTACCAATAGTGCCAATACCTATTTAAAATCAGTGTCATTACTGAGTATAGGCGTCACTTTGCTGACCTACAAGAACATTCATTACAGCACTTCTAAAAAGAAAATACCTCTGTTATTGAAAAGGACTGATTTCAATTGCAATTGCCATAAAACATTTTGTAGGATTTCGAATAGCCTGATATTTTTTTTCAAAAGAAGTAAAAATGAAAATATATCAGCAACACAGTTGCAAGGACTTTCAATAAACGGGCTCGAGGCCGATTTCAATACACTCAGTAGTGTATTTCCTAGGATCTAATTATGTAATAAATATATTATTGATTATGTGACACAGGCTATTGGGATTGCTTTCTAAAAGTTGATTCCTTCAAAGACTTTGTGATGAAGTTGGGCTTACTTTGCTTTTAACAGGTACAACTGTACATGTGTACCTTTAAAAAAAAAAAGGAAAAAACTTTTTCTCCCTACCGAATATTTAATTGTAAATCCCATTTATGAAATAAGAATATGTTTTGATACCTACAATGTACTTATGCAGAAAACTGTTTGCATTCATTGTGTTGCGTGCACAGACTTTAAACTCTCTAAAATGCATTTACATGTAGGCACATTTTTCCAAAAAATTAGCAAATGCAGACAGCTCAGACAATTGAAACTTGAAATTCTTATAATCTGAAAAAGACGAAGACAGGATGTTGTTTTCAGGGGTGTTAATTCACTTGCCTGGGGACTTTATTAACTATATTATTCACTCATGAGACTAATAGTAGTTCATCAGGGGACTTTGGTGTTTAGTCTGGAGTGGCTGGCACTGACTCACAATGCGGGATTGCCCTTTCAAGGCTTCAGGCTCCAAATACACAGGTCTCACAAATTTGAAACATTGTTTCCAGATTATTAGTGATCTTGGGAGATGTTTTCCGAAATAAAGTGAGAAGTGTAGATTTGCAAACTAAGGGAACTAGAAATTAGCAAAGCATTTTTATCACATGTGCTATTCATCATGCGTACATAGTGTGCTGCAGTAACTTTTAATGAAGTGAATATTCCATTTCAAATTTCCTTTTTTTTTCAACTTTGATTGACAAATTGGAAAATCATTAATCTGAGAATCCCTTTTTGTGTTTTTTTTAATTTTTAATTTTTTTTGTTGTTGCTTTGTTATTACAGTGATGGTAAATGTACAGTATGTGTTTTCCTACAAGTTACATTAACAACATACATGTACATATATGCACATATGTGATGTATAATGTACAGGTAGCTTTGATTTTCTATGAAGTAATATGTTCATGTACCCATTAGCAAGAAGGAAAACAAGTATCCTTTGTACATGTTGACCTTGATTGTGTATGGTTTCTCCCATGTAAAATTTCACCGTCTTTCCACTTTTTCCTATAATGTTGTATCCCACAATAGCACTGTAATCAGTGTGAAACTACTCAGTACTCAAGTATCTTAAATGCCCTTTCAAGGATTTGCAAGCCCTCAACAACTTAGCTCAAATGTTATAATTATCTGTTGCAGCAAAGTGACTTCATGGTGGTATATACATGTATGTACAGACTGTATGTGGTTATGCCCACAATTTCAGAACTAAAGACTCTGTGGCCCGAATTCACAAAGGAGGTTTGTCGACAAACCTTGGTTTTCGTACGTCATATGACGCGTTTTACGCGTTTTTTACAAACCTGGTTTGGCGAAACAAAAGGAGGTTTGACCTCAAACCTTGGTCTGAGCTCAAACCTTGCTTTGTGAATTCGGGCCTCTGGGTTTTCTCTCTAAAAGTGAAAATAGAAGTCTCCATTTTGTACCCCAAAAAATTGCCAGTGAAACACTACCAGTTGCAAAATTCAAATTTGAAAAGAAAAATTATTATATTGCTATTAAACAATGAATATTTTGCTACCATACTTTTAGGAAAGTTTTCAATTATGATTCTTTACAATGCTTACATGTATGGCCCTTTTGAAAGTTTTGAGACATCAGAATGCAAATCCCTGCATCACAATTAAACAACTTGTTTACTCTTCTTTAATTTTTGTGTGTACCTTGAATTGATGTAATTTTTTAAAACATTGTGTCCTCTCATCCTTTCCTAATTTGGATTTCTCTTGTACTGTTTTCAGTGATTTCATGTTTGATTTGATTTGATTGATAGAAGGACATGCAGTCGTAAAAATTATTTCTTTTTCAATATTTTAGGTAAAATCATGAAGTACCCTTTGATCTTTTTATATATTTGTTATTGTTTTCTTTGTTTATTCTATTAAAACGAATCATGAGAATCACATACAGTATTAACAATATTTGATAAAGTGAGAAAAAAAAAATAGAAATAAGTACCCTTTAAATCTCTGGACATATATCTATGATTATTATTATATTTTTCTTTATGTAGGGAGCAGCCCATCTTCACGACCAGGGCTCATGTGTTCCAAATTGATCCAAACACGAAGAAGAACTGGCTTCCCTCCAGCAAACAGGCCGTTACCGTCTCCTTCTTCTTTGACAGCACCCGCAACAGCTACAGGATCATCAGCGTGGATGGATCCAAGGTAAGGCCCGTTCACACATCCCAAACACCGTTTTGAAAAATCGTAGATTCCTTTGACTGCCATTTACACTACTCGGAAAAACCCATTAAATAATAATTAAAACATTGGTGTCTGCTCATTCATACCACTATTTTGGTGAGTAGTGTGTATGCGCAACTTGTCGCTACTCTGCGTGCGATTGCAGAGAAGCAAGGAGAGTCACGTGACGAAAAACCGGCTTTGTACCAAAGTTTAGATTTACAAGTTGCAAAAATGTTGGCAGGCGTTAAAAAAGAAACATTCCAGAGTTGGTGTTTCCTGCGATTTTAGTTTTTCGTTGTCGTGTTTGCTTGTAGTTGCCATGCTAAGCAGTTTGCAACGAAACACCGAAATGTGAGAAAAATCGCAGTGTAATTGCAGCTGTAATATACTTTCTGAAAATAGACTTGATAGACAACATATTAAATATCTCTTTGGAGGCCAAAAGGCGTAATAACTATGTGTAAAATAATATATACATGTATGAGTTAACACCGTTCTGGCTTCCAAACAGATGATATTACACAATGCATCCTGCCAATTTTCATTGAACATTTAGAATTTGCGGCTGTTTGCCTGCAACATCTCCCAGCAAATATTGATGATCTGTCATTTGCTCTGGCAACATTAGCTCATGGTATTTATTTCATCAATGATAAAGACTAAAGAGCTGTCCTGACGGTGAATCGACCAGAACAGGTGGTTTTCATTGAATGTAATTTCCAGCACATGAAGCAAGTTTTATTAGAACCATATTGTGTTGATCTTACCCTACAGTACGTAGTTGTACAGTATGTACCCATCTACATGTACTGCCTAGGACTCGGAGGAAGATTTAGAATGACTTGAAGCCGGTCCTTCTCAAAATGCAGCAAAACTGTTCCTTTGCCTGAACTCGAGATCAGCTATTAAACGAGATCAGCAAATTGGCATAATACTTCATATTTTCCCCAAAGTTATGAATTTCTTAAATTAATAGTCCAATAATCTACTCTTTCGTACATGAACAAGTATGAGGCATGCTGAATGCCAATTTCTCCTTATGGTTATTTTTGGAAATCAAATCCTTGACACTCCCTCCAGTGGAGATTGCCACGTTATGGTGTTTTATGGTTTATGAAGTTCACTATAACACGCAACCTTCTGATAAGAAGGCAAGTGTACATGTCTTGTTGAGTGAGCCCACTTGTAAACTCAGGTATTTAAAAGTGGGCTGATAAATAGGCGGAATTTGGATGAAGGAAATAGAAAATTAGGATGTCAGAATTGGGAATTTGTCCAAGAAGTTACTGTAGCCTTCATTGTATCTGACGTCTTCATATCTTCCATGTAATCACGTATACATGTATGACATTTTTATGTACTTCTCTGAAAAGAAAAAGAAAATTTTCATGATGAGTTTGAATATTCTCTATCTTCTCTCAGTGACTGCAGCCGTTAAAACATCAAAGTCTTGCGAAGTACATGATAAAGTTCAGAATCTCCATATTTAGAGTCAGACTTACAGTCACTTAAAGGATATCATCTCTGGGGGGTGTTTCATAAAGAGTTTGTCAAGTTACGCATGACTTTACGAACGACAAGAGCCAAATGGGATGCTCAATCATTATTAAATACATCAAATAAAATTGAACTGTGCAGATGTAGATTAACATTCTTATGATAACAAACATTTTTATTGCAAAGTATTTGTTGCCATAATTCAATTGAGGTTATTGAAAATCTCAGAAAAAACTTTGGGCACCCTATCTGGCACTTCATATACAAGTCGTTCGTAAAGTCATGCGTAACTTTACGAACAGCTTTATGAAACACCCCCAATAAAAGCCAAATGGGATGCTCAATCATTATTAAATACATCAAATAAAATTGAACTGTGCAGATGTAGATTAACATATCTTATGATAACAAACATTTTTATTGCAAAGTATATTTGTTGCCATAATTCAATTGAGGTTATTTAAAATATCAAAAAAAACTTTGGGCACCCTATCTGGCACTTCATATACAAGTCGTTCTTAAAGTCATGCATAACTTAACGAACAGCTTTATGAAACACCCCCCAGATGACATTTGTGGTGCTGGGTTGTACATGGATATGTACGTGTACAGTATGTACATTGTAAGTGAGGTTCGAAACGCAAATTGATTTAAAAATAAAAGTGTGTCACTATAATTGCTCTGTACTTAGCCCTATTGATAGACTGCCAGTCATATCAGATGATGGGATCGTAATTGCAAGGTCATTGACCTGTCATGAGATATATACAGATATGATTGAGTGAGATTAAAGAGGGATTAAAGCTACACCAATCCTGTCTTAGCCTATTACAGGAATAGTCTATCAAATTTGATTAAGTTGATGTAGTCATTGTCGCACAGGATGTTTACCCCAACCCCATATGAAGCAAATATATCAAATATGGATTTGTGTCATTGATATGTTCCTGGGAGGTGAGGGAGATACAAGGCCCCTTTCATTTATAGCGGTTCTGTCATGGTACATGGATTTGTGTATATAGGAGGGTGGGGGAGGCATGCACAACCAAGTCTGGCAATTAATCATACATGTATACATGTATGATGCATGTACATACACTATACAGTCATTATAAAGTACAATTAGAAACAAACCCTCTATTTGTTTCCAATTTTCATTTGACTACAAAATATCAATACAATTCTTTACATTTTATTCTAACAAGTACCGGTAATGGATGTTACATGTAGGACTTGCATATATACATGTACATGTATATTATATATGACAAGGCTAAATAATCATAGAAATTGATGTTTTTAGTACACTTGAACCAGGAATTAATTCAAAACAAATTTCTAAGAAGGAACAATATGATCGTGGTAAAAAGAGGATCTTCTTCTCCACTTGTATTGGAACTTGTGAACAGGAAATCAACAGGATATTGTCTTAATAGTAGCCACAAGCCGGCAGGAAAAAAAGAAAATAAAAATGGAAAGAAGAAAATCTCTGAGATTGACTTTCGATCAAATTGACACTTGATACTAAATTGAGCACAGGAAATGTGTACGTACAGGCACTTTGTTTCATTTTTTTTACAGAGATTCCATAATTCCCCAAATTAGTACTTTACATATTATGTGCAGAATATATTTCTGGTATGTGGAGAGAAGCCTATTGGAATTGTGCAGTGATAATTTTTCTCTCACATCTATGATTGATTCACTTTGAAGCATGAACATATGTACAGTGTAATGTACTAAATATTACAACTTGTATTCAAGAAGAACAAAGTGTAATAAATGTCTTCGGAAGTTTAAAATATTTTGGTTTATTACCACAGTGTAGTTGTAAATACTGCTATATTTCCACAGGGGGTCTTTGCAGGTCATTAGAAAGATGTTAATGTAAAACTAGAAGCTTTTTCCATGCGAGAGGTCCAGAAGTAAGAGGTACAGATTTGAGAAGAAAAACAAAATGTCAAAAAAAATAAGCAAAACCCTGATTTATCTCATCACAGAATTGAAATGTGTTAATAGTTCCTGATTACCGTAAATTTACTGGAAGTTGTTGTTACCGTATATATTTTCAGGCCAGAGCCTCCCCAAAAAGCCATTGGAAGTAAAATGTAATGTTTGCATGTATATTGATCAATAAAATAATCTTAAATCTTTAATCTTTTGTTTTGTTGACTTTTGTTGACCAAATATGATTTGAAATCTCATTTCAGGCGATTATCAACAGCACTATTTCATCTACCATGACCTTCACTAAGACCTCACAGAAGTTTGGGCAGTGGGCCGACACCAGAGCAAACACAGTCTACGGGCTGGGCTTCAGCACCGAGATGGAACTCAACAAGGTACGTATCAGCCTAATGAGAGCTAGTTTAATATTTCTAAGGTTCTTTTACATGTATTTGAAGGTCGGTCTGTAGCTTGTGTTTAATAAACCTTCAAAAGAACAAGAACCAAGAATATTAAGAATGTTTGAAATTTTAAATTCTTTATACAGTTTCTTAATGTGGAAGAGTATCGTAGAAAACATGTCCCCTGAAAAAGTACTTCTTCAAATGCCTTCAGTTTTTAAATGTGACATGGAACAGCCAAAGGTTGTGGACTACAACTTTTATGTCACATTTTTGTGTACGGTAGTTCAATTTCTGCATGTGACCGGGCCAATTTCTTATCATTTTGATGATTCCGAAACCATGATGCACATTATCTGCTACGTGTTCATGATCAGCCTTTTCCAATTGCTGAGTCCACACAGCTTTTTCACAATGCAATCATATGACCAGATTCACCAGAACTCAATTTATCTTTGAGTTGGTTCAAAACCTACTTGACATCAGGACGAACTTCCCCCGTTAACGGTTTGATGCTCCTTATTAGGGTGCACTCTAAAAATTACAACGGTCCAAGATTCTTGTGCTGGCTCATCAATTCCAGGACGCAACTACTTTCATAGTCAAGACCCAGTCCTTAATGACTACAAATGATTTATAGCGTTTACATTCTACACATACTCACCGTGGTGTGTGTGTACAAATATGTCCACACCAGGGGAGTGTTTCACAAAGACCAAGATCGACTTTAACTTGGACTTAACTAAAGATGGCAGGCCGTTCATGCCAATGTTTGATCTCACCATTATGATCTTTCAATACTATTTTTTCCTTCAATAATAAATTATCAAAAAATGTAAACTCAGTAGATTTGTGATCATGATTTGTACGTCCCTTGAGAGACCAATGCCAGTGAATGGTGAGAGCAAACGGTGGCATGAACGGCCTGCCAATGTTAAGTCAAACTTAAAGTTGATCTTAGTCTTTGTGAAACACGCCCCAGGTTGTGTCCTCTACAAAGCTCTGATGTGGAGGCGGGATTGTATAGATTATAGATCTAGTTTGGATCATATTTATTCTCGTTAGTGCACAGTGTTGACAAGTTTTTGTTAAATAGAGCATATTGAAGGAAGTGTTTTATATTTAGAACTTCTCTCAGTCCCTTTCTTTGTCTCTCTCTCTCTCTCTCTCTCTCTCTCTCTCTCTCTTCTCTATACTGTGTATATATTTCTACAACTCTTTCTCTGTTGATTTTCCTACATGTCTGTCTGTCTCTCTTTATCTCTCTCCCTCTCTCGAGATCTGTGTGTGTCTGTCTCTCTGTCTACCTCTTAACAAATGCACCTTCATCCATCCTTGTCCTTCTTTCTTACTCCCGTCTCTCTCTCTCTCTCTCTAAATTATATATATATTTTTAAAAATATATTTATGCTCTTCTTATATGTGTCTTTCTTTTTGTTCGTATTTATCTTCCTGCATGTATCTCTGTTTCTCTCTGTTACTTGTATGTTCTGTAATGGGTACCGGTATTTTATTTCTTAATGTCTTTGTTTAAGGTAATGCATAGTTTTAAGCTGTTAACCTGTATGTTCTGTAAATGGACATTCCATTTCTTAACGTCTTTCTTAATGAGATAATGGACAATTGAATAGATTGTACTTGCTCAAGTTTCACAATGCTTTACATGATATCATAAGTGTTATCAATGCTTACAACATGAATTTTTGTTGATTCTACATGTACATGTAGGTATTTTGTATTTTTATATTATATCAATATATTTTTTATTTGTTTTAAAGTTAATGTTATGGAAAATAAATGAGCTTGAACTTACATGTAATCTCTCTCATATTATCTCTGTATTACATGTATATTCTGATTCAGCTTCCATCGTGATCTCTTACTCCTTTCCTCTCTTACTCCCAAACCTGCAGTTCATAGAAGAGTTTGAGAGAGTAAAGGAAGCGGCATTAGAAATCACCTCGGAACCCTCCAAGAAAGGCATAGATTCTACCCCCGTCCAGAATGGATCGGCCAAGATCACCAACAATGAAATCAACCATGCAAAGGTATTGCTATAAACTTCTAATGGTTGCACACTCTAAGGCATTAAAATTTTGGGAGAAAGTTAATATGTACAAAAAACACCCCCACCCCCTCCCCCAACAAAAAAAAAAAAAAAATCTTTTATGTATTTGAATAAATAAAGAATGTGAGTATTTAAAAGAAACAAGAATATTATGAATTTGTCAAAGCTGTAGATCAATAAACCCGTCTAACAAATCCACCAATTCTTCAATTAGTTTTGAACGTTTGCATTTACAGTAAATCTGTATTTTCCTTCCTTGTGAAAATTTGCTTTAAAAATATCTTAGAAAAGAGGAAATTTGTAAGTAGATATTATAGGTACAATCAACAAATTAACAATCATGTCTACATGTACGTACATGTATATAAACTGACAGTTTTATCAGATTTTTTTGGTAGTGAAACAGATTTAATTTCATGTGTTTTAATCATAAAGTCCATGGTTTCATTAAGGAATTGTTTCTTTCTCCTGCAAAATACGCAATGAACTATGTGTGAGTTACACGTATGATTAAATAAGAATTTCTACCTTTTGGTGATAAGATTTTTCATTCTCTTTCAATGCTTGCAGCAAAGTTCTGGGGATTCAACTGGCTCGATACCCAACCCAGTACACATTATGGCCTCATCTGATGCCCAGCTCAAGTATGAGAATGATCGACTCAAAATAGCATTGGCACAGAGGTAAGTTATAAGAATAATGATGTGTGTGTAATTGGGTTTTTACAGACATGTATCTATCAGATATGATTATTTACGTCTGCGCACCGACCTTTAAACGTCACCATCCAAACGACTCAGTTTCGAACCAGGGTTGCCTGAGCCAGTATGTAGGCGTAGACAGAGAGCTGACCAAATGAACGTGCCGCTAGACCAACTCACATCTCCTAGGATCTAGGATCATCCCTAGCCACCTTCAACTCCCTGTGCGTAATGCAAATAACTCAACATGATGATAATATTCAGGGTTTACATAGCGCTTTACATCAATGATGTCTCTAATCACTTTTCAGATATACTATTACCCTGATTTGATAATGATAATAATAATGATAATTTTGAATCTTTCTATGGCACACATATCGGCCATTTTGGTAGGGTAAACCGGAGGACTTAAACACTCTTGACAGATTAGAAATGTTAATGTACATGTATACAGTATTTCTTTATGGAAGTACTCTACATTTAACAATTCCAAGCATATCCAGGAAGAAAAATGAGGCCCAATCGTTCTGGATTGAAACCTCAAAAAAAAATATCAAGATTAGCTATTCCCTGAACAGGATAATATCCAATTACAAACATTTGCATGTTTTTACAAGTAATATCCATAAGGATTAAATGAGGTTAGCTTCCCAAAGGGAAAATTATATGAATTAGCACAATTATGTAGTTGATTGTGATAGATCATTGACAAGTTAATATCTGATTCATTGTACAATCATTACATCTATACAGAGAAGTATTTTCTGTTGTCCTTCCTTCAGACTCTTGAATTGTACACAAATCTATTCTCAATCTGTTTCTGTGTGCGTATTGATATTAAATCTGTTCAATTAAGTCATAGATTGAATCAGATCACACAATCAAGTTTCACTCCTGGTTTTTAAGTATGCTTGCGTCAGTGAGGCGTACATGAATATTTGCCAGGTGCCTTGTCTAGATCATATCATATTTGTTCTCACTTGAAGCGATAAAAACCACCCCAAAATAAAATGTCTTAAAGTGGATCAATAAAATGTGTGGACTGGATGTACGTGCTTTAATTAGGTAGTTGCTTTGGCTAGATCATATTGCATTGTTCTCACATGAAGCGATAAATCACCTCAATAGAAGTACCGGTAGTGCAAAATAAAAATGACTCAAAGGGTACCAATATAATGACTTAAGGGTAGCAATAGAATGACTTAAAGGATTCTGAAAAAAGGATTTATAGGGTACCAATACAAAAATTTAAAGGGTACCAATATAATGACTTAAGGGTAGCAATAGAATGACTTAAAGGATCCTGAAAACAAGTAATTAAAGGGTACCAATACAATGATTTAAAAGGTACCATACAATGATTTTAAGGGTACCAATACAAAGATTTAAAGGGTACCAATAATATGACAGGGTACCAATACAGTACCAATCACCAAAACATATTTTGGATTGTATGTTAGGGATTCTGTGTTGCTACTCGACGCACTCATAAGTGCTTGCGTAGAATAGGGCACAACCAAAACCCATGTTGAACTTGGGGTTTTCTTTAATTTCTACACTCCCCTTATCTCTTAGACAATAGATGCAGGATTAAGTTTTTTTCATTAATTTGTTGAGATTGATTTCATACATTGTAAATGTACCCCCCCCCCAAAAAAAAAAAAATGGTTTTAGGTTATTGGTACACTGTAAGCAAACGGAGGTTCATATTCCTGTATCTTATAACACACACATATTCATTTTTCTTGGAAATGCTGTTGCCCCCCCCCCCAGCATTCAAGATGATCTGTAACCTTTCAGAGGAGTGCTGCATACTTTAACAGCAATGTTTCTCTATTTCTATTTACTCTCCAGTTCAAATAATGCCAAGAAATGGGAGCTGGAGCTCCAGACTTTGAAGAATAATAACGCCAGACTGACCACTGCACTGCAAGAGAGTACTTCTAACGTTGAAGAGTGGAAGAGACAACTATCAGCATATAAAGAAGAGAATGTCAGATTAAAGAAACGGGTAAGGATAAGCAGCTTTCAGTTATAAACTCATTTAGTTTGGATAACCCCCCCTCCCAAGGAAAAAAAGGAGAAGATATCATCTAATTGATTTATTATCAGTTAATTCTGAGATGCTCTAAAGCAGAGGAAGTACATGTAGCAAAGAATGTTATTTAATAAAATGAAGATCTTGGGTCATGATCTAGATTAATTTTGTAATTTGTCTTGGTAATTAATGTCATATGTTGTATCTTTGCATACCGATAGTAGACCCATGGTTTGCGGGTTAGGTATAGTATTTGGTCAAGGGCTGAAGATGGAATTCAGTTATACCATAGTCATACTGACTGCACACCGACACTAAACTGACCAATCCTTGGCCACTGGAGGTTTTGTTATTTTTTCTAGTCAGTCTGTTGTCGGTCTGGTGTCAGTCTCATTGGTGTGACTAGAATACAAGAGTGAGAAAATTGACTGGAGCAACCATCACCACAGCAGTACCTGTAGAACCCTTCAAAGGCATTGTTTAACAATGTTAAATCCGAGATGCATGGCCCTACATGTACGTGTTACCAGTGTCTGTAATATGGTGTAATATTGAAGCCCTAAACAAATCACGCTTCAAAATGATCATGAAGTGCCTCAAAAAAGTACAAATCTTTGAGTGACCGGTTTTTACCATACTCACTTTCCCCAATAGACTGTAGTGTTATAAAGACCATTGGCTAAAACGGTTTTTGAAATTTTGAATTCCAAGCATAAATATCTTGATAATCAAACAGGAGATCGGCTTGTAAAAGTCATGGGGGTTCCTGACTGACGTAAAGGTTTAAAATTATCATTGCAACATGAGCTAAATCCAGGATTTTGTATAGAATCAGAGGCAAAGTTACCTAAGTAATACCTTTAACCATGAGTGTGTCATCGATTTTCGTTGTAGATGAAGGAGTTAGAAGCAACGGTTGAACCTGAGGCTCAGAATGGACACAGTGATACAGCAGAGCTTGAGAGCAGAGTACAGGAACTCACGCTGGCTCACAAAAACAAGGACCAGGTAATAATTATATTTATATTGGATATTTTCACAGCACAAGTCTGCCAGACAAGGTGCTCCAGTATTACCCTTGCTCTAACTGGCTTCTGATTTTAGGAATAAATAAATCTGTTTAAATACATTCATATTTATTTGTTAATCAATCATTTACACCCATTTGATTTGCAGAATGTATAGATAATAGTGAGATTCTTCCAAAGCAAGCACCAACATCACTAAAGGTGTGGGAGCCATTGAAACCCTAATTTGTCAAAACGGTTTCATTACTGTAACAGTTTTTATGTCCTATAATTAGTTTATATTTGTTGTACACCCTATAAGGAAGTGTTCCGAACACCCCTTTTCTCAATATCTAATGAAAGTCATAAACCTGCTGCTCATATTGATTTAATGTCTGATTTCACTTATAAGACTGCAACATTTCTCTGAACCTTTATTTTTTGTGTAGGAAGTGGAAGGCCTATCCAAGAGACTTGAAGAAGTTTCAGGTTTGGCGGAGGAGAATACTAGATTGTCGTCAGAACTCGAGGTATGAGGTCATAACTTGAACCAATCCATAATCTTCCCCCAAAGTTAAAACATGAATTTATGTGTAGTATAATGCCAAGGAAAACTTACAAATGCAGTCACTTCATCAATATGAAGCTTCTATACCCGGCAAGATGCTTTAGCCTGGACCAGTCATCTTGACGAGAAATTTGGTTGTAACATCTGTATCATGGTACAGGGGGGCTCTAAATGCTACTTGTGCAGACATCTCTTTTAAATCTAATTGAATGTAGCCAGCTTTGCATAGACTTCAGTCAATGAATTGTCCTAATTTTGATCAATTATTAATTAATTGTGATACCGGTAATCAACACAGTTCCTCTAAAGTTTAAGATAACAACCTGTTCAGAATACCACCTTAGAAAGATAACTGTTAAGATTTGTGGCAGTGTCTTGTGCTGTTAATAAACAATAATCAATTCTATAATTTGCATTATGCAGGCCTGATAGTTTCCTGATTTATTAAGTTTTAAAAATAATTTTTTAGAGATCTTTTTTTCTGTTCAAAAAGTCATATTCCCTATTAAAGATAGATGTAAATCTTATTTAAGATTAGGAGGGTGAGGTGCCGTTTTCGCATGTCTTGCTTGAAGGCCTCGAGCAAACGCTTTGCTCCGATTTCTAAAGCCTTTTTTTTAAACTCTCACTATCACTCCTGATTATGTTTCAGAGTACATTGTATACTTATATATCAAACAAAACCAGTATCTAGTGGATGTAAATGTTTGTGGTAGATCAACCAAACCAAAATGGTATCATTTTCTATTAAGTTTAACCATTCTTGCCCATGTCAGAAAACCACGTCCAATGTAGATGCTCTGACAAGTCGCCTCACTGACCTGGAAGAGAAACTTCAGCAAGAGAGGGCGACGAGAGAGGAGAACAGCACGCAGATGACAACCCTGCATGAACAGCTTGGAAGTACTCTAGAACAGCTCGCTTCATTACATATCCATCTCGGCAAATCATTGTGAGTTTTTTTCTGAACCCATTCCAGTTCTGGGCCCCCGTCTTACAAAGACTTAAGATTGATCAAAATCAATCGCAAGTCCTCCAATCAATCGCAAGTTTACAGTCTCATATCTCTTATGTACATAGTTGGGATTGATATCAATAGCAGATAAGTTGCGATTAATATCAACTCTTTGTAAGACAGGGCCCAGATGTTTCATAAATCAGCTTCGCTCCTCAAATTGGCACCAATTTTTTTTAGAAAATAGTAATACAATATTACATAAACCAATGAGAATGAAAATTTCCACTTTTAATTTTTTTTTGCCAATTTGCACATACAAATAATGAGTATAAATTGAACACTATAATAATAAAGCCATGTACGTGCATTCACTAATTGGTTTATTGTATTATACCAAGTGTGTTGCAGGCTTGACCCATTCTATTGTATGATTCAATTCATCAGTTTTGTCTTTTGCAATTCTTACATGAGTAACATTGGCATTTTGGGAGAATTCAGTTTTCTCTCTAGGTAATTTGTTGTGCCAAAAAAAAAGCAGCATTGGGCATGGAACTCTACATGAACATTATTAACAAGGGTTAACGCCCAAGTAGTGACCAGACAGTGATGATAGAGTATGTTATTTTTGGATTGAGTGTTCATATGTCCGGGTACATGTGCATTTGATTATCATGTTGCTTAAGCCATTTAAGGCCACTTGATCTACAACTTATTAGTAAAAATCTTATTTAATCCTGTTTACTCAAACCAAGTTTGTCTACTACAGTGCATTTAATTGGTCAATATTATTTTGGCTATACCACTTTATCTGTTATCAATTTGGTCTCATTAGGCGCATTTATACTGTCAAATACCTCATTTTGAAAAGTCGCGATGTTTCGTGCACCCGGTTACACTTGTGCTGAAACATCACCGACGGAGCTGTTCAGCGATGTTTTGGCGTGTTTCGGTTGGTAATGCGCATGTGCAGTCTTCCCGACCTTTGACCCCGGCCTGCTATAAGATTTTTAGCGCGCGCAATTTCCAGCTAGCGCTATAGCTAGCTAAATAGCGATACACCCATGCGCATGCATGCGATATGTTTTGTTTATCTCGCGTGTAGTATTTGAGGCAAGAGTGGATAAGTTACGAAGTACGGACTACGGCTGCTGATTCAGTTTCCCAAATTCAATCGAAATCTAGTAGTAAAAACGATATGGGAAGGTTAAGAAAATCATCGTTGTTAATTGGAATTATGAGAATTCGCCGACGTCGTAGGGAAAGTGATCGTCGTGCTCGTTTTTTTAGGTACTTTATGAGGCGACAGCAAGAGCTCACCAACCTCAGTCCAATGGGAATTGTTCACTTCCATGGTGATATTAATTAATCTAACAAAACACTCAAATACTACTACTAGACAGATATGGCCAGACGGGAATAACAAAGATTGAATAAAGGATGAGTTAACGGAATTGGAACAAACGGAGCTGAATGAACGGATAACACGCGCGACGATGGAAATGCTATAAATATCACACGGGAAGAACGTGGTTTAAAAGAGCGCGGGTAACAATCCGGAAGTGCCGGAAGTCACGTGCCTAACATCGCGATGTTACAACTGCGAGCGGTTATACTTGCCAAACACGCCAAAACACGCCAAAACACGCCAAAACACGCCAAAACACGCCAAAAGATCACACTTCGTTTTGGAATGTTTGGGGCTTGGCATGTCTGCCGGTAAAGCGTAGTTGCCCTTGGTAACATCGCGGCCAGGCTCCGGTTTGGCATTTTTTGGCGTGTTTGGATGACAGTGTAACTGCCCCTATTGTTATTTTTTAAATTTCTATATAGCCTGACCCTTCTGCACTAGAAGTAACATCATTATGATTTGATTTTTTGTTGTTGATTGTTTATTTACATATCAGAATACGATTATACACACAGTTTTGTTCTACAAGAAAGCCCTGAATGGTGCCAGGTCTTTTTTTTCTTCAAAGGGGGGGGGGGGGGGGGGGGGGAGCAAATGGGTGTAAAATCAACTGAAAACTCTGAAAGCTCCAAGTGCATTCGCATAGCCACAAATTTTATCATACATGTTTTGGAGAATCATCATTATATATTTTAACATCTGTGTACATACATGTACACTGTATACATGTACTTCGGTTAAAGAAAAAAATATTATGGGGGATGCAATTTCGTGAGTTTTTTATTCTTTGAACAGTTTGTATCCTACACATTGCAGCAATAGCATTCATTTACCGGTAGTATATTTTTCCGACTGGTTTTAACTTACAACGCTCTCATCTTTTTCATACCTTTCCAAAGAAACCATTGATGCCCTATAGCTGCAACAATCCTTTGGTCAGTTTGACCGCTGGATGATGCACACAAGGACCACACATTTCCATGTTACTTCTCAATGGCCACCATCCAAGCTGAACCACATTGCAATAGTACAACATTCTTTTACTCCTATGGAACGATCTTGGAAAGTGCTGGGCCTCTTCGAGGATGGCTTGGACTAGAGCAGCCGGCCTCTTCGGGTGAGCTTGTGCTAGCGACTGAAGAAAGTGGACAAACTTTTATGAAAATTGAATTTATCTTTTTTGTGTTGATGATTTATCAAAGTGAGGCATGTACATGTAAGCTATCCATGTATGTACATGTACTTGCAATGAGATGTAAACGATGTCATATTTCGCATTATTAATTTTTCGCGCTGAACGACCACATAATATATTCCCTGGTTCTTAAATTGGCGTTGCACGCAATTCAGCCTGTTCAAAACATGCATAGGAATTCATGCTTATATTTTCGGAAGTTCTAAAATTCGTGCTTGCTGATCTTAACACAAAATTGATGTGCCTAGCATAGCCGGGTAAAGGTTGATACGTGCGCTATATAAGAATCCAACATTACTATTATTATTATTTCTACTTTTACAGTACATGCTTTTGTTGATACTTTGTCTCTATAAGTTTACGTTGTGTATTATCATTTTGTTATTTGTGTTTCGTCAATGGCTGAAAAAAAATGCTGAAAATGTACATGGAAGGCAAACATGCTGTATGTAGCAATGCAGGGTACTTGACCCTTACCTAGGGAGGTCAAGATTGAATACTGTGTTATAACCCATTGCGTATGGATCTGGGTGGTCCGTGTATTAACTCTATTGCTATGATGACATTTAGCAGTCGATGTGTTAATGTATGAAACAGAACAAGACTTCCAAGGGTGTTCATTCACCATTTCAATGAGGGCTTTTTGATTGCGAGGTCAACTGTGAACTGTGGCATGATGACGTTATTCAGATGATCTGCGCCATCTACCTTGTCCACTACCAGAATCGAGAACGTGTCTATCTTGGTTGTGATGGCCTCCCTAATCGCTATAGCCATAGCACGTACCTATGGCTAGCTTTTTTTGTACTTTGTTAAACCTCATTCAAAGTGGTGCGCGTGCAGGGGAAATATACATATGCATGATGAATACATCACATGACGTCATCATGTTCACTTGTGCGGTTAAGCAGGCATTGAATGAAATTGAAATAGGTTAAAGGGAAGTGAACAATGGGTGTTGACTAGTGTTTGAAGTCTGTTATTCTCCTCATGCTCCCTTTAAACTGGGGGGGGGGGGGATGTGCCTGTGTATGAGTCTACTTGTTTTTGCTATTAAAAAATGGCTAATTTTGAAATGCTGGCAGTTATATGTGTTACTCATTCTGTATGTGTTGTTAGTGGTCACTTGTAAGAGGCGAGTGATCTGCAGATCAATGTATTTAATAACAATTTAATTTATTACTTTTATTTATTTATCAAGCATTTATCATCCTTTTAAATGATTACATGCTATACATGTAAGTGTACATAAAATGCAAAAATTGTTGGCACAATCAATAGATGCTAAGCATTCTGCATTCTGGGATCACGTTTAAGCTGCAAACATACAATTATATTATATTTACAGGGTGGAACTAGTATTTATGATATATCTAGTATGTTTATAGTTTCATTTAGCCAAAAAGGTACTTGTAGTTATCAGTTTATGACTAACTTAAATGTATAGTGTGATTCAAATTTAGCCTAATTTAACCAAATCTAATGAAACGTGAGCTTAATATTTAGTCTTTCACTTTACAACTTTGTCACAATAACAGAATACTTACATGTACATTACATTATAGATGTATTCATTTGGCGATTAGACTTAACAATTAATGGTCACATTATTCTGCAAATGGGAATGTTTGAAAGACTCATGGATGTTCCTTGAATGCATGAAAATGGCAGTGTATTTGTGAGCACTTGGAATTGCCAAAGGTAAGAATGCTAAACAAATTGTTAATATCGATTAATATTCATATAATATTGTTCCTTTATCACAATTAATGTTCGCTTTGATCATGGGAACTCATTTTTGATTGCTTGTGATGTTATTTGTATGTAATATTGTGTGAATATATTTTTTGTAAAATATGACATAAATTTATCGGTATGCTATTGTGTGAATTTATTTCACAATACTTATTATATGTGAATCAGAGTAAATGCTGAAAAAGGCCAATATTTCTTCTTTACTGCACGTCTACTTATACCAATTTGTTACTTTGGTGATACAAGCATACTTGTAATATAAACTAAAAGATGCAAGTTGCAGGCGCGTAGCCACGGGGGGCACGGGGGGGGGGGGGGGGGGGGGGGGGGCACATGCCCCCTAAAATTTCCTGGATCGGTTGAAATTTTGTAGACCCCTTTTTGGACCTCGATCGATTACATGTATGTGCCCCCCCCCCCCCCCCCCCCCCCAAACATCAAACTCTGGCTACGTGCCTGGCAAGTTGGTAAATGTATCTCTTCCTTTTTCTTCACCAGTTTCATAAAACGTATACCTAATGATTTTGTTGTTTTAATCGGTCTTCTTGTATCTACACATAATACAAGTTTTTTTCACTTCCAATTTGTGTGAATTTTGTGCTGTTAATTTCGTTTTTCTATGTATATATAATGAAGACTCTATTCCAATACTTTATATCGAAATTGTGTCAACTTTGTATAGAAACTCTTTGACAAAATTGTATTTTGGTAAATATTGCTGCAATATTCTGTGTAAATTTTCTACTGGTAACTGAACGAGGACAGGTGGGGTTAATGGGTTAATGAACTTTGTATATCATGTAATCGGTTGTATCCGTAAGCCTGAATCCGATGACCGGGGTAATAATATATCTGTAAAGCGCTAAGGTACATCGTTGGATCGGTGTATTGAGCGCTATATAAAAAACCGGATTATTATTATTATCCGTCACATAACTACGTAATGTACAATGTTTCACAAGCACCTTGCTCAAAGGTTAAATTAATGTAAATTCTTTTATCTGTGTTAGGAACCTATGCCCTTCAAACCTGAAATCTTGTGGTACTTACAGTTTATCTTGTCAAACTTTGGGGGGAGGGGGTTGAGATTATTAATTCATTTTCATTGATTGGTCATTCCTTACCAAATTTCTACAGGTATATCACAGGATTTTATTTAAAAAATAGTGCTCAATCTCTAACAGTTTTATTATCCAAAGGTTGAAAAAAATTATGTCTGCGTAAATCATGAAGTTACAATCCTAATGTTCAAATGTAGCTAAATCTGCATACAACAGAGACAATCCAGTGTGCCTTGGTATATTTGTAAAGTTTCATACAATTGTGTAAAATTAAGTAGGTTAAAGACAGTATGTACCAGTTTGCTCTAACCTAGCCGGTTTGATATTTGTCATCATATAGCTCTGTTCGCATATGCCGCTGTAAATACCAACTTTCTTGTGTGCTACGTCAAGTAGTGATGAAAAAGTACATACTCACTAACAGTGTATCTATGTGTTATGAGATACAAATATGAAGAAGAAAAAAGGCGATTTACTTTGGTATATGTGAACAAGCCTCCACTCTCACTAGTGTAATAGGGTCACTTTTCTTACAATTTATAACATCTATATTATGTCAAGAATATATATAGTCTTAAATACACATTCCACACTTGACCTACCTACAGTAAGCAGGCTTTTCATTTTTCAAATATTCCTCTACAATCAGAACCAGGTTAATATCTCATTATTTTGACAATAAATGATTAAAATGTGAAAAAAAAAGCTTATTGTTCTTGTCATGTATAAATGTAGTTCTTTTATTTCCATCTTTGGTGTATGCAAAAGGGGGGGGGGGGGGTAGGGGGTACAGAGTACACTCCTAAGAACTGTATCTTCTCGGTTCAAGAACCCTGGAAGTTGTATAAAATGCGAGGCCCTTTCATATACGAGTACGTTTCTGTACAATGTAGGTGCTCTATTTACACAATCTGTTGGTCCACATTTACTCCAGGGACGTGGATGGGCATGTGTGTGTGGTTTTTTTTAAGGGGGGGGGGGGGTTGGGGGTTGGTGTAAAAGTGGACAATGACCTATACCTTCATTAGACAAACTTGCAGTGAAGTAAAAATTAGATGAAATGAGATTCAAAAGTAGGATTGTGACAGAGAGAGAGGGAAAGAGTGAAATAGAGTGACATAGGGAGGGAGGCAGAGAGGCAGAGTGACAGAGAGAGGGAGAAAGAGAGGCAGACAAGACAGAGAAAGTGAAATACAGAGAGAGAGAAAGACGGATGTAGCTGTAGTGTTTCAATTCACCAAGGTTAAAGTTTCAACTAAACTTGTATTCCCATGTAATCAAAATAAGTTTTGTGCAAGAAATATTTTTATCATAAAGAGCAAGACCGAATCTTCATGGCTGAGATCATAAAGTTAATAGACTAGAACCTTATGAAAAATTCCTTGGGACTATGGAAATTACCACGTTATGATAATATAGAATAGAAATAAGTGTAACTAGCGAGAATGCCTTGATTGAATTGAAGAGTTTGCTGTAACAGAGTTGTTTGTTATATTTTTTGTACTGCCTTTGTGAAATTGCCATGAAGACCAATTGACAGATGATCAGTAAAGGGATGAAATTGTGTCTTTGTGATGCATGACAGAACAGTGACAATATTTAGGTAGTACATACACGCACAAGAGTATTCATGAAGCAACCAAAATAATCAGAGTAGACCAGAATATTGATTACACATTCAAAATATTTTTATTCAGATCATATTCATATTTCTTACAATATCTAATTCAAAGGGCAAGTCAGACTCATTTGCAAGATAGATGAATTGAATAAATAGAGAGAGAGAAAAAAAAAAAATTCTATCAAAACCGGACAAAAAATAAAACAGTAATGGAATTTTAAGTTTTGCATAATTTCATGAAACAGTGATTAGTATCACAGGGCTGTATGCAAATGAGCGAGTTGATGATGTCATCTCCTCTATATTTCAAGAGGATTCATGTCGCGTTGAACATTCCCAGGATCAAGGGGAATGATGTCATCAACTCGCTACTTTGCATGTAGCCTAAGTGTAACATATCGTTGTTTCATGAAATTTTGCAAAAACTTACTTTACTGTTTTTTCATCCGATTTTGATGAACTTTCTCTTTTTTGTTCGTTCAAATTTTCTCTACTTACCGTATTCAAATCAACTTGCAAATAGGCCGGACTTTCAGCAATAAATTTGGATTTTGCCTACAAAAGTGAAAACTTTTTAAATACTTTCTGTCTGAGAGGAACAGTATGATGATTTGAATAAGAAGTAAACCTCTACCCATCCATACAGGTATGTGGACTTCTTTGTTGGCAAGTTCTTATTGGGGATTCAATTTCATTAACAATTTGATATCCAACAGAATGGATCTTTTCCCAAAATAATTATTCAGAATATCTGCATGTATTCCCCCCCCCCCTTTTTTTTTGGGGGGGGGGGGGGGGGGGGGGGCTTGTGAATTAGCAATACTAGTAGCTGAATCTTTGGCCTTTCAAACTGCTTCAGGTAAGGCCCCCCCCCCCCATAGTAAATATTTTTTTAAACATAAGGTTTTAATTGAAATAAAAGCCTTTCCTTTTTTTTCAATCCAAACCTGAGGACTTACCAAATACTTACCAATACATTGTAGTATGTATGCTACAGTGTACAACAGACCTCTGTCTGTAGGCCTTGGTTGGAAATTAGGAAGGTCAACCTGCAAGTCCTCACCAACACACAAGACGCTGAAGGAACTTTCCAGGGAGAACACTCAAAGATGACGAGGTAACTTGTCAACTTGCTGGACAGACTGCAACATGGGCCAATTTCAAGAAGGTGAACTCGGAAGTGGACCCTCGCAAATCACAGACTTTTGATAGATGTTCCTGGAAGGCTGCATCAACGAAAGACAGCACTGACGATATCCTTGGAAGACATCACACATATGCTCATATCCTGAAAAACTGGAGTAGGCAGCAACATCTGTATGTTCTCAATATTCCATCTTGCCAGAGGAACCTTGCACTTCCAGGGAAGAATTGAAGGAAGACGTTTCCATGTCAATGATGTCATCATCTTGCAGGATTGGCTTCAAACATTCCAGTCAAGAATCATGACCTTTGAAATGGTCTAAACATCCTCATCTGGTTGTGATTGTAGAACACTTTAAAGCACTTTTGGAGAGAATGGCTGGACAAAACACGTTTTCAAAAGTTTTCCGCAAATCTTCAGAGTCCATCTCACCATGGATGTGTCAATGTCAGCGCCTTCCATCATTTAACACGAGTCTAATTAGATACTACCAAGTATAATATAATAAAACTTTGATATCAACACCTAGACAAGCTGTCCAGATCTTCTCTTACACAATGCCTCGAGAGGAGTGACAAGATAGTTGCTTCATTCAAGATATTTAGGCAAGAATTGCAATTCGATTTAGGGTAAGGATTACATGTACTGTAGATGCGGGTCTGATTTTAGGTTGAAGTTAGGTTCAGTGCAGAAATTTGACCACTGAACAATTATCACCAATATAATGCTCATTTGTATTAAATGTGGAGTAATTATCACAACTGGTACTAAAAGAATGTTCAACTGAAGCCGATATAACATAGGCGTAATCAAATGACAAATGTAAAATATCCGCCCAAGAATTTGCTGAGGAATCTTTTCAAACTGTACTCTTCAATCATCCTAGCACCACAGTGACCACACTTGCAAGTCAGAGTTGAATGAAATAATAGAGATCAAAGATTCACGGAACTTGTTTGGAAGGAAATGCAGTACTGTAGTTCTGATATCGGAGACAAATGACCTTTACAACAGGTCTACCTGTAAATTGGACCCACGGTAGGAATTAAATTCACAGTTTACTTTCAAAGTTTATTATAAATATATGAAATACAATCCCTCAACCTTTTGCATTTTTGCACCAAGGCCAAAGTGGTCAACTCTATCCATCAAGTTTTAATTCAGCTGTCGTCTTACACCAAATCAACAAGTGCAGTGACAAAAAATTGCGATCACTGAGACTCTGTCAAGGTCAAAATATGAGGTCTGCACAATGGCTATTCATGATATTTAAGGCTTTAGGTACGACTCGCTAGATTTTCATCCATCAATTAGCCATGTCATGAAAACACAGTCTCACATTTTTTTTGATATTAGACAACACAACAGAATCCAAACTTTTCTTTCAACACCTTGGCATAGGGTCATGTGAACGTGTCGAATATGAGAGAGAAAAGTCCTCATTAGTCCCCAAAACAAAAGCACTGGTCCCGTTCTAGCTCACGAGATTGAGGAATATTTTGACATACAAAATACAACCTTAGGTTATCTATTTTGTATACTTTTCAAACAGAATATTTGAGAAAAAGAGAGGAATCTTGGGTTCAAAACAATACGAAGGCCGCAAAATAGTAATGTTTCCACCAAAATAGGAATGGTTGGCAGCTCTGGATAGCTTACAAACCATTTTTCATCCTTATTAGGAGTTCAGAACTAAACATTTTCTTTAAGACCAATAAGCTGTCTTCCGTTTTTCTCAAATATCCTGTGCTGAAGTGATATTTCTAAACAGACCACATATGCCTTCAGTCACTTTTCCCCCGACAAGCTCGAAAAGGCCAGGATGTTAATTCAGATCGACTAGTTTATACAAGGGTATTTTAACAGGAATCCTTAGAACTCGGAAGACACCAAGAGGAATCCCTCACGATTGATTCTGAGGTTGCACGATTCATAACCGCTGCTTTAGAAAACTTACCCTTTCACTTCATTTCCTGCAACTACCAGTGGGTGAACTTGTAATCCATCAACTCCACTTAAAAGTTTTGGAAAATTATGTTGCCTTTCCTCAGCAGCCATTTTTTCTTTCAATGAGACCATAGAGTTAAATTGGTAGAGGCATCCTCCAGCAAATATGCAGTGATGTCAGGTAACAACATTTTTCAGGAAGACAGTTACCTGTACATGTTCTCGGAGTACAAGATGACGACTGAATAATCGAAGCGGTCAATACCGTTGTAGAGCATTTCCATTTGAACTGCGGACTGGACACATACTGTATGCAGGAACAGAAACAATGAAGATATGGAGATTTTAAGCACGATATCTGATGGTTCAACTGATATTTTCTTGGAGCTCTCTTTCTGTACCATTTCTTGGCCATCCGTAGTATGTCCTTGGGAGTCGGAAAGCCATTCCAACAAAAAGCATCCCTCCGACCTCAGGGGGCACTGTAGCAAGGTAGAAGAATCGACTTACGCTAACATCTGGACAATGACCCAATTCTCATGATGAAGTTGTTCAGACTGTAGGATTCTACTCCTGATGACATCAAGTTGTTGTACCTCAATGAATAACCCCTTGAAGAATTACCCAATAGTATCCGTTCACAGCCTCTGATTTCACAATCCATTTGTAGAAAAAGCTGAAGATTCTTTCATGCGAGATAAAACTTTCACTGTCGTATTATGGTTTTGCCGAGATACAGTAAGCTTACCCCAAAGAAAAGATCATCAAAAGATATTGAGAATTTTCTAAATAACATGCCCCAGCTCAACCAAAGGATTTATATTTTCTTTCTTCTCAGCGCCTTGGTTGAAAAACTTAAAATCTTTAATCGTCTCATTTATAGAGAAATGCTATATTTCAGGCATATGATGATAGCATTATAAAGAAAATGCCTAGATTATAAAGTCAGCACCGTCTTTTCTTCAGAACTTCAGCGATATCAAACATCTGGATCGAGGGAAGTCTTTGAAACTTAATCTGCAACTTGCTGAAGAAGCAATGGTACCTCAGCAGAAGAAACCACACACTCAACACACAGCATACAATCACACAAGACCCTTGAAAATGGAGAGAAATAGAGCGTCAGCATACTTGAGAAATCTTCTATTGACTACAGAAATGCTTTAATTTGACAATTTTACGTCCATCAAATCAATCTAGAACAAGTTTTGACCACAACAGTAGAAGTTAAAAGTAATCATTTATAATTGTACGATGCTTTAAAAAACAAACAGTCCTGCAACATTCCTGATAAGACTAAGCTGGATGAGAACATGAACAGGAAGTATGGAGTATGTTTCAGAGCTGAATATTGTGCTCTCATCTCCGAGACTTGCTGGAAAACTTGACCCTCACCAAATAAAAAACCAAAATATCCTTCACAAAAGTTCCTCAATGAATAAGCAGTTTTGACAATTAATGCATACATATTTTCGCAAGTCTTCTGGTGTACTGATGTTAAATGAATGACTTAAAGAGTGAATAAAGCAAGAAGACTTCATAGCGTATCATCAATTTCAATGAGAAACATTATTCTTAGCTGACTGAGATCAAACTACGAACAGGTCCAGATTGTTTACTGTATAGATTTTTCTGTAAACTAAAATCACCATCATCTTTAACACGAGCCCATGATAGAAATGTGTAGACTCACTCCAGATCCATGTAAAGATAACATGGGCAAAATAGATGATGAATTGGTATACTTAAAATAATTCAATACAGCCACCTCAAAGAGCATCCAACGAATTGTCGCAATTTCTTGATGAGATATATACATACTTAAACCAAAGGAAAGGTTTGCTAGCAAAAATTGACAAAACAGCCAGACCCTGTGGAATATCTTTAAGAATACTTTTTTTTCTCATTACTTTTTCTCCAACCATTGATTAAGGTTTAGAGAGTAAAATTAGACATCCACAAATTCACACGAAAAATGAACCGCAGCAGTGAAGTCTACATTTATATACAATGAATAAACTTGATGCTTTCCACATAATTTATTGTTACTTTCTGTAAAAAAAATAGTTACTTGTCAGGAAAAGAGCAATATTATCCCTGTTTTTTCCAGTCTTGAGAAAAGCACTATTCCAATGATTATTATAGTCCAGCACCTCTTATCATTTTGACAAATACATGTTACAAAACTTAAAAACATCTCAAGACAGAATCTTCAATGACGAAATCACTGAACAAAATCTGAGCAAGAAAAGGTGGTACATTCCAAACAAAGCTAACTCCTCCACATTAATAAGCTTCTCTTAACATTCAGTTATGCAAACTTAATTTATTCTCACATCTTTAATAATAATTTTGCAGAGGATAAAAACCACAATACAGTGACTGTGATCAGGAAGCCATGAATATCGGCCAAATTCAGCAGTGAAATTCACACCACTATCAATAAACAGAGCAAATCTATATTATGTGTACTGCTTCACGGCCAAAGAGATATAAAACATCACTTGGTATGTGAAATGGAATGTCTACACATCTAAAACCAAACAACTACAACAGTTGATAATCTTTTAAAAAGCAAGTCCATATTTACTACGATGCGCACACAAACTATACAAATATGATGAGAAGTAGTTATACTCTGCAGGTAAATTTAATGAGAAGGCAATTTCTGAGCTGAAATTGTAAACTATTAGTCCTTGTGTGGAGAAATGCTGAAGAACGCAACAGCCAAGTGAACAAGATCTTGAGTAGCATTTTAACAGTTCTAGGCAAATTTGAAATACGACATAGCCTTCTGAAGCTAGTGACGCACGATTTACGAAGATGTTTCACCATGACTGAATCATTGCATCAGAAGCCGAATGGATTTGCCATTGGTGGGACTTGAAACCTTACCTAAAAGTAGAACACAAGAAAGGCAGACCGAAGAAACCGGCTAGGATTGGACGCAACATAAAAGAAGACGGAGCGAGATATGTACAAGCACAGACGAGAAGAGAAGCAAACATCACAAGCAAAGGATGCTTTAAAAAATAAAAGAGAGAAAGAGAGAGAGAGACAGATAGATAAAGAGAGATTAAACTGATATTTCATGCCCATCTCAGTAGCAATCCATGGTGACTTCAATTTCACGGCCTTCTTGAATGGATCCTGATTTCATGTCTGGGGAATTGGAGGGTCAAGGCAAAAGATTGATTACAATAATTACAGCCTATAATGATAAACTTCCTAGAATCTAAAAACTACACCTGTAGATAAATAGATTATTAGTGATTGAATGTGGTTTTACAGTAATGAAGGTGCTGAAGACTGCTTTTTGGTTTGGGAGAAATAATTAAAATCAAATTGTTAATTTAAATTACATGTACATGCTTTTTCTAATGTACATTCTGTATTTTCTAACTCTTATCTGTAGTAGGATATATCATTTCAATATACAACTGTATATTTCTATATTTGCAATTGCAATTATCTCTTAGAATAAAATTATCTACATTCTACCTTACTAAGCAAAGCACATACACTGTAGACACTTAACGAGTATAATGTGCTACATGTATATTAAGACTGACTTATATTTGATTTGTTTATTTGTGAATATCATCAATAAATAGCCTGTGGAGGGCTCAAAAATTGAAGAAAAAAAAAAAGATTTTTTTTTTTTTTTTTTTTTTTAATTTTTTTTTTTACTTAGTATTATTATTGTAATCTGTTTGGGGCCAGAATAGCATCAACTCATCATTTTACACAGAGCTACAATGTAACACACTCCAGGATCCGAACAGGCGATATTCAGGGACGGTGGAATGGACTGCAGCCATGCCTTGTTCTTGCTTTGTAAAGGATACTGATGGCATTCTGTGCATCCATGGAATTGTCGAATCGAACTGTTCCAAATCCACGGGACTGCCCTCTTTCGTCGGTCTTTACGGATGCGAATGTCACGTTACCTAAAGAGAACACAGATACATCACGTGTGCGTCTTCTACAGAAAACAATGCCAGCTCAAAACTATGCGGCAGGTCTTGCAAATCTTTGAAGGGGACATATAATTTGGGAGCATTTGGCCTCTGCAAGAAGGATGCTGAAGGTCAAATGGATTGGAGAAAGGCCATTTGAGAAATAAAAGGACAAACATCACAGCGTTAACAAAAACAGATGTTAAACTATGATGATGAAGATAGTCATGACAAACTCCTCATTTTTTGTAAAATACACATAAAATTCACCTTCACCTCCTTGAAAAGTATGGACATTTTTTATTTAACATGCTACACTTAACAGCAATAGAATCAAACAAATTGTGTCCATCATTTTTTTTTCTTCTTTTGTTTCAAAAAGATTTCTATATACTTTGTTCTTATTCCCTATCAACCAAAGCGATTCCTTTGATTAAAAGAATAAAACAATATAAAGCAAGAAATATGGTCCTAGGTTAGCAAAATGTTATATACCGTCAGCACTTAACAGTGTGATTCTAATAGCATTTGGAAGAAAAGTAACTTTCAGGTCAAAATATAAAGGGTCTAATTTCAGAAATATCACATACAAGCTTTGAAATGTCACCTTCCATGTCTAAGATCCTGAACTGTGAATGAACAATATTTATATAGCGCACATCACTAACACAAAGATAGTCCCTATGGCTATTATTGTTTTCAGTACTTTTATCTGTACTGTAAAAATGATACGTCCATCTTTAGATAATTTTCTTGATAAAATTTCAATGAGAATTCTTGCAGCTTTACTCGTTAGACAAATTTGCAAGGCATAAAACAAGTAATTTAACATACACACACACACAGAGACTTTGTTCGTCTGTTTGGTATTTATTTTAATTTATCCCACGGTTTATTTTTAACATGTAGATTATCACTTACCAACATCCTTGAAGACATCCTTCAGTTTTTGCCACGAGTAAGAAAATGGGAGCTGTATGAAAAGAAGAATAAATGCTTTCAGTAACACATTTCAACTTTTTTTAAATTTTAAATTCAGGGCAGCTTTTTAAGAACTTCAAAGTTTTGTATTGCCCCACTCCCGAAGCACAGAAGATTCATTTCGCATCCCTCTGGCACTGGTCAAGTGCCATGTACACACATATGGCCCCATTTCTTCTTCTAAAATCTTTATGAGGGAATTTTTGTATTCTTCTACAAGAAGCATGGTAAATCCTGCAGTTTCAAAGAGTTTTATTCAAATTGGAACATCAGCTCAGCATCATATTTACAAAGGATTACATTAAAAAAATCACTGATTCAAACCCTACTAATAGTTTAAAATAGTTTGAGAAATCAAGTGAAATATAATATACTACTCACGTTGCGCACAAAGACTTGTGTTCCTCCTTCCTTGGCCATTCCTTTCTCTCCCCTATCTCGTCCTCTACCGCCACCACCATCGCCATTATTACCTCCTCCTCCTCCTCCTCCACCACCACGCCTATTATTATCATTCCTGTTGTCACGCCTGTTATCATTCCTGTTGTCCCCCCTGTCTCGATCCCGATCCCTCCTGTCATCCCTGTCATTGTTCCTGTACCTGTCCCTTCCGCCGCCACCCCCTCCTCCTCCTCCTCCCATGCCACCACCACCTCCTCCGATGCCTCCAAGGTTGCCAAGGCCGCCAATGCCTCCCATGCCCCTGTCTCTATCACGGCTGTCCATGAAATCACGATCGTTGTTCCCGTAGAGTCCCGACATCCCCATCAGGCCCCTGTCCATATGATCGTTGTTGCCTCCGATAAGGCTCTGGCTCCTGCCGCCCATGCTCCCAGACCCGATGCCCAGATCGAACCCTCCTAAGCTTCCTAGACCAGAGTTGTTACGACCTAGATCCGAACTTCCGAGACCTGTTGATGGAGAAAAGATGGGAATTTCAACATTAGTAAACAGTGTGCAAACAATGCTTGCTTTGCAGACAAAAGAACCACATCTCATCAATATCATACATGCCAACATTTGAAAATCAGAAATCTGTACACTTTGTGCGCGAAGCGCACATCATGGGCGCGAAGCGCACATCACGAGCGCGAAGTCCTTTTAGCCGGGGTCCAGGGCCCGCTTTAGGGCCCTGGAAGCTCTGGGTTTCCAGATGCTCTCTGGTGCAATCTGAGCCTATTTTAGGGACCATTTCCCCTAAAATTCAACCCAAGTTTATGGGTAATTTTTGTGTCATACCAAACAAAAAAGTGATTGAAGTGAACTCCACATTTTAATTTATCCTTGGCAGAGGCAGAGCAGATAATAGACATAGATTTAATTAGCCACTCATGCAGAGTGATGCATTTAAGTCTAGTTACTTTTTAAATAATTATACATGACATAGATCTATGCATAAAATGAGACTGGCAATAATGGTATTCAACTTTCCAGACAACAGTCAACAATCCAAAATTATTGTAACTCATTGAGCTACATGTAAATGAGGTTGTCAAAATCAATGTCAGCAGAACAAGACATCTGTTGAAAAAATATAATTATTTCTTCATGAAAGGAAGGAGCATTTGGCTATAGGCACCACATACTTTCAAGTTTCAAAACAATGAATTCAGTGCAGGTGTTAAACACCCCTGAAGCTTCTAAGTTTCTGCATGTTGTGAAACCCCATGATGCTTTTATTTTATGGGTATACTTAAAGTTAAATAATTATACAAATACTTGTATTATAATGTACATGTAGTTGATGGATAACCCATATAGAATGGTATCAATGAACTGTTTTGCGCATATCTTACCGGGTAACACTGTTCAGTGTTAGTTTCAAGGTACCCTGTAACAGTAATTAAGTCATTCTGATTATTTGGAGGTAGAAGCTCCAGCATGAAGGGCCAAGTATGTAGACTTCTTTGCAGCCTGCAAGACATCATAACTGTATGTTGTGGTATAGCATGTCAGGTTTCTGTTCTGCATACTTAGTTTGTGTGTGAGAAGGGAGCTCATAGTTCTGGTGCTCATATTACCACGATGTTTAGTCTTGATCTTATCTACCATCGAGAAGACCCTCTCTGCATCACTGTTGCTGTGAAATACCACCAAAACACACTTCATCACTTGGGAGAGCAGGGAATACTTTCTCTGGTATCTTGACAGTTCCATCATCTGCCCAATTACATGCCACTTCTGGTCAATTCTTGTCACATCTTTGGTGCAGTCATCTATTGTTTCATCTATTTGATACAGATTGAACTCGTCCTGAAGTTGATCCATCTTGTCATCTGGTATTAAGCTGAATCTGGAGGTGAAATATTCCACTGTAGTGAACTTGGCTGTGCTTCTTTGAGAAATGTCAAGCACCTCTGCATTCACAAGGAGCTCCTCATTGAAAGGATAGTTGTGAATCATGTAGCTTGCTGCAGCAATGTAGAAATTCTTCACACCTTGGAAAAATGTCTTCAAATCCAAGGAGGCCTCATTCTCTTTCAAGAACTGTCTGCATTCAAACCCTATTTGAACCTCATCATTGCTCTTGTGGTGTGCTTCATTGGCTAAATCTATCTGGGTGATGTTTTTTGCTTGGCGAATTACATTAGGTTTCACAAATCTGGACAGAAGTCTAGACAGTTGACTTACAAGAATTCCATGCATGCGATGAATTAGTGGTTCGTCTCTCTGGAATAGCTGGGGATAGAGGAATAGGAAGACACATGTAGAGCTATTGATCATAGAGCCAAATAAACATTTGTATTACGCAATCAGATATATTGATATTTTAATGACATCAGTGACTCCACATAGGCAATTACAACTGAATACATTCTTGACAATAATCAAATTCAATGTTAAATTTTTATAGTACATTCATATTTCTGTAACAGGGATTCCAAATCAATGATTGATTACAACTGAAAACATTCCTATCAATAATCAAATTTGAAGTATTAAATTCTAATCATTAATCAAATTCATGTTTTAATGACATCAGTGATTCTGAATCAACAATTACAACTGAAAACATTATAGTCACTAATCACATTCAATGCAAACAAATAATACTCTGCAGAAGAAATTGAAAATGAATTAATTAACCAAAAACATGAATGTACAAATATTTTCATTTAAAACAGAATAATAATCATACAAATATTACTCATCAAATTGAACTCCACATTCTTACTGCAATCAAATCCATCAGCTTTCCCCAAAAGTTGTAAATATCTACAGAATTAAAATGGAAATGAAATAAATGTTAGTACTGAACACATAACACAATAAAATCAAGGGTACATGCATCTTTGTAACACAAATAATGGAACTACTTATCAAGTAGAATAACACAACAATAAAATCAAGAGTACATGCATCTTTGTAACACAAATAATGAAACTACTTTCAAGTAGAATAACAACAATAAAATCAAGGGTACACGCATCTTTGTAACACAAATAATGAAACTACTTTCAAGTAGAATAACAACAATAAAATCAAGGGTACACGCATCTTTGTAACACAAATAATGAAACTACTTTCAAGTAGAATAACAACAATAAAATCAAGGGTACACGCATCTTTGTAACACAAATAATGAAACTACATGTACTAGGCCTGAGTCAAACCGTTTAACCGACGGTTATCCGACCGCATTCATCAAAACCGTTTAGCATTTCTCGCTCCGGTTAACCGTTATTTACATTTTGGAATGTGCTAATAGCCGATGATAAAGATAATCAAAGAAACCGCAGTGTAATGTTACACCCTGGCCGCTGCGCGCCAGCTTTCTGGCAGCAGTTATCCCCATGAATGAATTTGTAAACAATAAAACAACCAGCCCCCTTCTCTCTTTTCTCACCCTCTTTATTCCCTTCTCTCTGCAATGTGTTCATCGCTCATGTACCTTTTCTTATTACTGCACTCTCAGCTCACAACTTTCTAAATGTTTACACATTCGATGGTCAGTTCCTCTCACATCCCTTCTCCCCCGAGTCTCTCTCTCTCTCTCTCTCTCTCTCTCAATATTAATATCCATCCCTTGCCCACTCGCCCCCTAAAACAATGTTCATATATAAATAAAATACAAAAATATTGATAACAATAATAATTGAAGTTTTAGAAATATCAATCAACAAAGTCTTGGATATTGTGAGTAATTTAAGTTTTTGATCATTCTTCAATTCAGCCGATTAACACAGCCATCCGTTCTATATATTCTCACTTGTCTTACTTCTTCACTCATGTCCCTGCCTCGTCCATGCAGGGACATGCAGGGACATGCTAGCCCATGCATGCTCTCTCAGTCACACACACATGTACACACAAACCTCCGGCGCCCAAATATACTGTACATACACACAGATGGAGAGCTCATGCTTGTCACATGCACACATGTGGGCGTGGCTTCTTGACCTCCCACTGAACTGGGTACGGTGAAAGCACGCCCGGTCACCAACCTGTAATTTATGCTGGTATCAAACTCCACCCACATAGCTAGAGAACCTTCCTGATTGGTCACTAACTTGGATCAGCTCATTGCAGGGTGTGTCTTGGGTGTGTGTGATACACACTTTCACATAATTTCATATGACAATGATACATGCAGGGAGCTCTCTCCCTGACCATGTGCAAACATTGCATTGCAAAGGCATATATAAACACGTCACAGATCATCTATCTTCACAGAGTAACTTTGCAAGGTTAATCATGATATCAAATTCAGATGAGGAATAATAAGACATGTTTTATGTTGTTTATTACTGGTCTCTGTTTATCAGGATGACCCAATTTGTGCCATAGTCTGGGGCTGGGAATGCTCAGCCTGACAGTCTGAAGACCAGCAGGGTTCCGAGCTACGTCACTATTACAAATACTGTATTTTCACTTTTTCAGATATTATTAAACGGTTAAACGAAACCGCCCGTATACTTTTAACGGTTAACCGTTTAGCACAAAAACCGTAATGACTCAGGCTTAACATGTACTTTCAAGTAGAAAGATGTAAGATTAAATCAATGCATGGAACCAAATGTTTTAGTTTAAACCATGTAACATTTTAATTTAAATAAAAAATACAGTGTATTACCCACCTCATTGGTTTCTTCAAAGATGGGCAAACATGCTTTCAGGAATAGAGCTTCCAGCTTACAATTGGGGTCAATCAACTGTTCATACACAAGAGTAGGTTTGTTTTTCTTCAGAGGCTCCTTGGCTTTCTTACTCGAGCTTGATGAAGCACTCGACTGTCCCTTGTTAGCTTTGACTTTACCTCCATGTAGCTTTGGCGTTTGTGAGTGTTTTTTACTTAATTCTTGCTGACTGAAGAAATATTTGCTAAGATCACATTGTCTGTGAGCTGCACTAGATGTAGTATTAGTCTGTCCAGAGTTGCTACCTTGGTGAACATTTTTGCTGCTTGCACTTGGCGTGGAAGTCTGTGTAGCTTCACCCTTTGTAGAGCTTGCAGGCTTGATTTGTGCTGTTCTGCCACTTGTAGATGAGGTAGTGGTAGTCTTAGTCTGTGTACATGGAGTTCCACCCTTTCTAAAGCTTGCGGGCTTGATCTGTGCTGTTCTGCCACTTGTAGATGAGGTAGTGGTAGTCTTAGTCTGTGTACATGGAGTTCCACCCTTTCTAGAGCTTGCGGGCTTGATCTGTGCTGTTTTGCTTGAAGAGCTACTCGTGGTGGGCATCTCTGAAGTGGTATTGCCCTTCACCTTGGTATCATCACAAGTTCTCAGCTTCTTTGGATTTCTGGTAGAAGCTGAAGGTGATAATTCCCTTTTCTTGCCGACTTTGGCTACTTTTGTTGTACCTGTACTTGCTTGAGCTTTGAAGAACTCCGTCAAGGGCTGCCAATTCTCAAGAAGCCTTTGAAGAGCTGTTCCAAGAGAGAGCCACCTGGGGAGAAAAAAAGGAAAAACAGTATCAAAATACACCATCATAATTATCTTTAAAAAAGAAACATCAAGAAAGAAATACCATGCATGAATTTATATAGCTGTTTTCTTGTGAATTTTGTGAAAAATGTCATCACTAGAGTGTCCTCTAACCCAATACATACTTAACTTTTTTTTCTAGCTTCTTACATGCTATAATTGCTATTTATTTGTTGGTACATGAATGAACATTATCTTTTTAATCTGCACAATAAGAAAAAGTGAAATTTGTTTTCCCCATTCTGCTGATTAATGTGCCTCACCATCCTAGCACTGGGAAGAAAAAAAAGACACATTAAGTTCTATTTTTCATTTCTAATATTAACATCTCACTATCAGCTAAGTGAGTTTAAACTAATTCAGTGCCATAAATGTCTCTCAAAAAGCCCTCAATGCAATTTTGAAAGTCAGAAGTGTAAAATTTTTCATTCAATTGCAAATCTAGATTTAATTGATTCTTTAGACTTTACTTACCGTGTCGGTACATGCTTTAGAATTTTCCTGATTTCAATGCCATGCTGTGCTTGAAGCTTTATGATTTCCTGGTGCCGTAGGCTGCTCTTGTCCATGTAGTACCAGATGTCAATGAGAAGATCATCAAACTGAAACTGAAGACTCTTTCCACCTTTCTTCGCAGACAAATGCATGAGGTGACAAGAACAACCAGAAATGTACACATTGGGATTTTCCTTGTTAATGTATGCTGCCACTCCTTTGTGTTTTCCGAGCATTACCGATGCATTGTCAGTTCCGAAACTTACACAATCTTTCCACGAAATGCCCCAGTTTTTCAGTTCACTGTCCATTATTTTGAAAATATTCTCACCGGTGGACCTTTCAGAACATTCTCTGAGTGACAGAAGTTCACACACTACCTTGCCAACATTCTCATCAAAGGTTCTTAGTAGAACAGGGTAGAGTTTGACTGCGCCTTGGTCCGTGCTACCATCGGTAGCGATGCTGTAAGATTTAGAAAGTTTTCTGTCATGACGTCGGTTCAGATTAACCATAATTTCATTTGGTCGTAAGAGGGCGTTTGTAGTTCGCCAGCCTAAAAGTCACGAAATTTGAAATGTTTTGTGGACAGTGATTCCATCAGTAATCCCCGACAATCGAGACAAGCCCAATGTTGTAAGTACTATAAAGCTGTTATTTGTATAAATCAATCTTTAATTGTTTGTATGAGGCCAAAAATGGCACAAGATATAAATCTAGTTTTCTGTAAATTTAAGATGAAAAGTACGTTAAAATGTTGTCTGTGCATGTAGCACCACATATAGACAAACGTAGGATAACGTGTGTGAATGCACAATTTGTGCATATATCAGTTTGTGTTGAGGATAATCTAGATTTGTGTGTAATGAGTGATGATAATTGACATGAAACAAGAGTATGAATTGTTTTCCTTGGTTATAAAGAATGTCAAGGGTGTAGAAGCAAATAGGAATTTAGTTCAGGAACCAAGTAAAGAGTGTAAGATAGAGGCAGGAAATAAGGCTGGTCGAGGGTTTATTTGTGTATGACGTTAACCTACAAGATAGAGAGGTATGATTTGTAAGGGTTATATTTGTAAACAAAGGTAGAATTTGAGACAGTTCATTAGAATAAGATAAATGAGGCAGTTATACAGTTCGTGTTTGCACAAGTGAGCTTTACTCACATAGTTTATTCTTGAAGGTTTTCTTTACTCAGTTATGCATATTAAGGTCATTTATGGCAAGCTAGTTGTGCGATACAATAGATGTTTGTTTATTCATGTGAATTTGTACACATGCTTATGATTGCTTGTTTGTTTTATTGATATTACAGATGAACTGCATTTTATGCACGTATCTCAACTTGGATGTCGTCGTCCTTTCTTTAAGCCTACTGTTGGGGTCACTTCAGCAGAATTTAACGTCACACAAAGTTCATAACAGCTTTAGCATTCGTCACCATGAGTCAAGTAGGTGTTGATGATGTCAATCCAGAGGATTCTGCAAGTCAGGTTGGGAAGAGTTCCACCACGTCATCTGGACTTAGGACCAGGGCCAAGAGGGCTGCAATAGCAGCAGAATTAGCAGTTCTTCAGGAAGAACAAGAGATAGAACTCGAAGAAATACGCCTTAAGCAAAGGAAGGCTAAGTTACTCTTACGTGCCAAGCTCAGCGCAGCAGAGGCAGAAGAAGACGTGTATGAGCAACACAGGAGTGGCAGTAAGGTGTCGAGTATAGGGAATAGGAGTTCCAGTCAGCAGAATGTCAAGCAGGTGCATGAAAGTGCAGAGCATGCTACGGAACATCATCATCATGTCAGCAATCATGATGTCAAGGAACCTGCGCTCCTACAAGAGACTATTCCTTTTCCAGCTCAGCAAATGGCTTCATCTCCCATTTCAGGTCAAGCTTATCAACCACGAGACGACCGAGAATTTTATCTGCAGACCCAAGTTCAGCAACAACGATGGTTGGAAGCTATCAGTCTGGCTAATGTAGAGATGATGAAGTTTGATGGGAGTCCTTTGCACTTCCATGAATTTATGATGTCGTTCGACAACTTAATTGGTCGATCTTCACTCGATAGTGGGACAAAACTTATGAAGTTATATCATTGCTGTGAAGGAGAAGTTAAGGGCATCATACAGTGCTGTATGGTCATGGAACCACTGTATGGGTACCAACGAGCCAGAGAGCTGTTGGTGGAACGCTTTGGCAGCAAGTACAAGATAGGAGAAGCCTGGATCAAACGTATAACCACTGGTCCAATCTGCCATGCGAATGACCGGAAGGGGCTGCAGAAGTTTGCAGATGAGTTGAAGATCAGCATGGAAACTCTTCGAGCAATGGATCTACTGCAGGAAATTAGTAGCCAGAGAGAGTTGCTGAAGGTGGCTGAGAGACTTCCATATTACCTTAAAGGTAGATGGTTAAAGTTGGTGAGAGACATCAGACAGCAGGAGCGTTCTCCCGATATCTCGGACATGGCAAGGTTTGTCTCCAACGCTGCTGAGGAAGCCAATGATCCTGTCTTTGGAGATCTGACAGCAACAACAAAAAGAGTTGAAACTTCAAACCCAGCTTTCAACAAGAAGAGTACAAGAAGTAACTACATGTACGCTACAGAGGTAACAGAAGTAGCAGTCAACCTGAAGTGCCTGAAGTGTAGGCAAGAACATTCCTTGTTTGGGTGCGACAGTTTTAAATCCATGGCACCCGAGATGAGATTTCAGTTTGCTCAGGACAACAGACTATGTTTCAACTGCCTGCAATCTGGCCACACCAGTAGGTTTTGCAGATTGAATAGAAGATGCTCAGTACAAGGATGCCAGAGAAAACACACAAAATTTCTCCATTTTGCACAGGATGCATCTTCATCTGCAGGAAGGATGACAACGACACAGGCTCCAGTTGAAACCCAGAACAACGAAGTCCATCAAGTCCAGAATGGGTTCGTTAAGAAGTGTGTCACAGGGGCCGGAAGGTGTGTGCTTCCCATTGTTCCAGTGAGGGTTAGAGCTCAAGGAGAGAATGTATTTGTGAATACATATGCACTGTTGGATTCTGGTTCAACCAGTACATTTTGTACAGCCACTTTGGCCAGAGAACTCAATGCTACTGGAAGGAAGCAAAGTTTAAGCCTGACAACACTGGAGAAGCGTAATAGCCCCATAGAGACCTCAGTGATTAGTCTGATTGCAGACACGGGACCAGATACAGACTGTGTGAAGCTACCCTGTGTGTATACCAGAGACGCCATTAATATCAGAGACACACACATTGCCAATGTGGATGACATTTCAGGATATCATCACTTAGAAGGAATCAACCTCCCGATCATTGAACGACATGAAGTTGGACTGTTGATAGGGCAGGATTCACCTGAAGCCTTGATACCTATCGAGGTGAGACGAGGACAGCATGGCCCTTATGCTGTTAGGACCAAATTGGGTTGGTCAGTGAGTGGACCTGTAGGTTCCAGTTCAGATGGTGTACCCAAAGCTACATCTAGCTTCATTGACAGTAATGATAGACTGGAGGAACAAGTCAGCCAATTCTGGAAGATCGAAGCTACAGATGTGCTTAAGAAAGACAAGGCAATGTCAGTCAATGACAAGAAGGTAATGGAAATATGGGAGAGGGACATCCAGCGGGAAGGTGCACATTTCCAACTACCGGTGCCCTTCAGAAGGAGACCACCTAACTTGCCTGATAACAAGTGGAGTGCAGAACAGCGTTTGAAATCGTTGGCAAGGAGATTGCAAAGAGATCAAGCAATGTATGTGAAATACAAACAGGGCATAGAGGATCTCCTCAGGAAAGGCTATGCAGAGGAAGTTAGTGAGGAGACTAGGCAACCCAAGGACACCCCTGTTTGGTATTTGCCCCACCATCCAGTCTTGAATCCCCAAAAACCAGACAAGATGCGAATCGTGTTCGATTGTGCGGCCAAGCACCAAGGGGTATCTTTGAATGATGCAGTGTTACAGGGGCCGGACCTTATCAACAATTTGATGGGAGTTTTGCTTAGATTCCGCCAGCAACCAGTAGCACTCATGTCAGATATAGAGGCAATGTTCCACCAAGTGAGGGTACCTCCAGAAGATCGAGACGTGTTGAGATTCTTGTGGTGGAAGGACGGAGACTTCAACAAGGAACCGCTGGTCTACCGGATGTGCGTCCACCTCTTCGGAGGTACGTGGAGCCCAAGTGTGTGCAGCCATGCACTTCGTCAGACAGCAAGAAACGGTGATGGTAATGGTAAAGTGGAAGCATCTAAGGCCATTCTCGAGAACTTCTATGTGGACGACTGCCTGGTGTCAGTTGAGAATGAAGAAACAGCGGTGAAACTTGCTGCGGACTTGATGGTCTTGCTCAGTGAAGGAGGCTTCAGATTAACCAAATGGGTCAGTAACAACCCATTTGTCCTGCAATCCATACCAGAAGAAGAGAGAGCTAAAGATGTGAGGGGTCTGGATCTCAATCATGATGCTCTTCCAGTCGAGAGAGCACTTGGAATCAGCTGGGATGTAGAAACTGATTGTTTGCTGTACAAATTTAGACCCAAGGACAAACCCCAAACCAGGAGGGGTATCTTGAGTGTTGTATCTTCCATCTACGACCCTCTCGGTTACGCCAGTCCTTTCATCCTAAAGGCTAAGATGATCTTGCAGGAACTAACCAGACTTAAACTTGCATGGGATGAGGAGATTCCAAGCAAGGAAATAGAGAGATGGAATGAATGGTTACAGGAACTACCCAAGATGACTGAATTCCAGGTCAACAGATGCATCAAACCACACGACTTTGACAAGGTAGCAGAGTATAAGCTACATCACTTTGCAGATGCTTCAGAGAAAGCCTATGGAGTCGTTTCCTACCTGCGGATGAAGGATGTTGAGGGTCAGGTGCACTGCAGCATACTATTTGCAAGGTCACGTCTTGCACCCCTGAAGAGGATGACAATCCCACGGCTTGAACTGATGGCGGCTACACTCTCTGTCACTATAGACAGTATGATACAACGGGAACTGGATCTGCCGCTCCAAGAGTCAGTGTTTTGGACTGACAGTTCAATAGTACTTCATTATGTGAAGAATGAGGATAAACGTTTCCATACGTTTGTAGCAAACAGAATTACAACCATTCATGAGGGATCTGAACCAAGGCAGTGGCGACATGTTAACACTGATGTCAATCCAGCCGATGATGCCTCGCGTGGACTGACAGCTGAGGAATTGACTGGACGATGGAAAGAAGGGCCAAAATTTTTGTGGTCAGAAGAATGCGATTGGCCTAAAAGCTTGACAGTGAATGAGTCTAGCTTAGAGCATGACCCAGAGGTAAAGCAAGACAAGACTGGAGTGTTTGCTGCAGCCGAATCTGAAGTCAAGGCGACAGATAGACTCCTTGAAAGTTACTCGTCCTGGTTCCGGCTGAAGAAAGGTATTGCATGGATCCTGAAG